TTATTTCTGGAAGAGATAAAACTATTTCTTGTAGGGTTGAAATGCCAATATTTCTCGAATGTGGATTATCCACAGATTTGAAAGCGTTCCTTAAATTCGATAAAATGTCTTTGCCAATAAAGTTTTCTACATCGGCTTCAGAAAGAATAACCAATTCACAGTTGTGAGGAATCACGAAATCTTCAACACTATCGCCAGATGAATAACAACGACTAGAATGATTCAAGTCCTCAGATACGTTGGTTGCTAACTGAGTACTCATAATAATCAACATACAATGCCATGTAGGATGACTAGTCAATACTTGATCATGCACTGGTTTTAAAAACTTGTGAGCGTCTTCCAAAATTTCATTCCATCGAATACCATTACGACTCCATCGGCCTTTACAAGCAATACCCACAATCATCAAGTTCTTCTCATTCGTTCTTCCATGCAACTTGAATAGTATATCTGGACTATGGAATGTTGAATGAAATGGAATATATATCTTTTCAAGTTCTAACATTTCTTCCACTATCCTTTCCCATTCATCATTGCTTCCAAATGTCATTCTCTCTGTTCCTAATACAGCTCTGGTATAATGTATAGATTTCATATAATAAGCAGCAGATTCGGAAGAAAATTGTAAATTCATTTCATTCCAAACACGAGACAATTGACCAAGAGTAGAAAACATTGAGCTGTTTGTAGGACGCCGAGAAAAATGTAAATAAAACAGTGTAGCAATAAGACCTTCCAAAATTCGACATTTCGACTCATAAAAGAAATCAACAGATTGAGACTTGAGAGTTTGTAAAAGTAACCATTCTAAACGATCATCCTTTAAGCCTTGGTCAATATATTCAATCAGTAACTTGGGTATCAACACTTCATAGCGTTCGTTGCGGTCTGGTTCTATAACCAATCGACGATAGAGACACATATCTGTAACTAGATCAAACAAAAACACATCAGAATTTGAGCTCATTTGCACAGTTTCATCAAAATCAAATCGAATACGATACAAAGATAATAACGTAAGCATTCTTAACAAGCATTTACGCTGCTCACTGAGACTTATCAGACGAGGTAAGAATGGCGCAACACAATAATTTGTTACTAGAAAGCTATTCATTATGATCAAGAAGGTTTCCTTAGATAATAAGAAATTGTTGTTGGATGATTTATACAGCAAAAGGTAATTGATTGCTCGAACAAGTAAACCAGGAACACCACCAGTCAATTCCAACAACAATTCTGCAAGTTCACTAGTTGAGAAGTCTTCGTGACAAAGAATTTCTGAAACCTTTGGGCTCCCAGTGAATAAAAAGGAAGAACTTTTCTCCAAGTGTTCCACGATACTATGTTTCTCAAGTGGCGCAAGAGGAATAAACACTAACTGAACCCTTGAGACTGAAGCTACGTAATTGTATATATTTAAGCCTTCACTTTTCCCAACAACAATAAAAAACAAGTCGGGTTCTTCGCACAATTGACTAATAATACCGATAAAGTCGTTGTATGGTCGAACCACACCTTTGTCATTCTTCTCCAGTTCAAAAAAAGTTGCCTTTGTATCAAACACACCAACTTCATCAAAAGCTACCAAAAGATATTGATCGGAAGGAATGTTTAAGATTGAACGAAGTTTTCTAACTAACTTATAGGGACGTGTACGGCATTCTTTAAATACTACTTCTTCATCCTCTGGTTCTTGTCCAACAGAAGTGCAACACGCTTCTATCATTCGGAAATACAAAGCCCACTCTAGGTTTCGAAAAAGCTCTATGGGGACTGTGGGCTTCAACCCCCTTAAATCCACATAAAGCAACGAAGCCCTTTTCAGCTTCTCCAGGAAACCTCTTCGGTTGGCCTTCTCAGACTCACAAACGTAATCGAGACCTATCAGTGCACTTTCACCCATATTATTCACCAGTTCCAAGTAACTTTTTACGAATTTTGTCTTCCCACTTCCGAAGAGGTGGGGACCAAAGGGTATGACTGGTTTGAAAGGGCGACCAAGTTTACGGAGAGTGTATAGCCTAAATAACTGCTTTGTTACTACACGAACATCATTTTCTCGGTCTACTAACACCATGTCATATACGGTTTCTGGTTCAAGCTCACTAGACATATCGCAAGCTATGAAGTAAACTATGCGACAGTAAAATACAACAATGGTCAATCAATCTTCTTTAGTAGTCCAAAGCTCAAAATCTTGACTTGAAACAACAAGATCTGCTTGAAGAGATAAAAAAGTATTCATAAGAACATGATTTGCCTAATAGAAAAAAACTATATTGGTCATGTGTGCAATAATAAAGAATAAACAACTGCTCTGAGCTACAAGAAAATAGAAAAACAGACTGAACTGTTCAACTTAAGGCGAACCATAAATAAAGTATTTGACGAATACAAGACCTTGTATAAAACCCATTTATCAACACGTTGGGACACTCTCCTGAGAAGTAACAAGAAGCAAACAAGACCTGTCAAACTGTGACAGTGACTTTTACAACAATAGGCTTATCTTGATTTTAGTGGTTAGTACCATATTAAGACAATAATCCTCAGAGTAAAAGCAAATAAGTTGTAACCAAATTTCAAACATACAAAAAAAATTTAATCGCTCTTCAAAACAAAGGGAAGGACTGAGAATCTATTGCCAACTTAAGAAACTGTTNCGGATTCTNTCNAGTAAATCTAATCCAAAATCCCAAAAAGTAGGATTNTGAGAAACATGAAATGCTCTTTCNAGTCCATTCAATATTTCTTTGTCNATCAGCATTTGGACATCTCTTTCNCAAAGAATAACAAGTTCNCAATTNTCNGGTACTTTGAAAGAATCNTTTCCAATGAACATTCCACTGGAGTAACAACGACTCTGACTNCCCAACTCNTTNGAAACATTCAATGATAACTTTGTACTNACGATAATAAGCATACAATGATGATAATCCATTGCACTGGATAAGACTTGATCNTAAACAGGATCTAAAAATTTCTTGGCTTCNTCTATAATATCTGACCAGCCAATTCCTTCCGACTTCCAACGTCCTTTNCATGCAACTCCAACAGTAAGAACTTTGGGTTCCACAGGAGATTGTAATTTGAATATAATATCNGGACTNTGAGAAGTAGCGTCCAAAAGAATGTAAATGGTCTCTAAATAAAGTGTCTCTCGAATAATCTTNTTCCATTCNGTATTGGCAAAAGTTCTTCGACTCTTGTTCGATTCNTTTCTTGTTTCTATAGAACTNACAACAGACTTGATATAGTGAATAGGTGATATTGTACTGATTGGAAGTTTCATTTGTTTCCATATCGGAGACAATTGACACAACAATTCTCTCAACTCNTTTCGATTCTTTGAAGACAACATCAAAACTAGTCGTAAAGCAACAATTCCTTCNAATACACGACACTTTGAATAGAAGAAACAATCTACTGGTTCGACATCNAGTGATCCAAGAAGTATCTTTTCCAAAGAAGATATGGAAGGGTCGTTCTTGAAGATTACAACAAATATTTTCGGAATTAGGACTTGAAAAGTATTCTGGTCNATAGGACATCGATATAGTCCCATTTCNGTGACTGCATCNAATAAAAAAGACTCCGAGGTCAATATATCNTCTACTTGAAACGGTATACGATAAAGAGCCATCATCAAAAGTATATCNAAAACACTTTTTCTNTCTTCGTCCAAATTCAATATTCGTTCCACAAATGGTTCNGCACAAATTATTCGGAAATCNTAGTCNTTCATACAAGTCAAACATTCTTCTTTCGATATGAAAGGCTGGTTTCTTGCTATTACATAATTCAAAAGCATATTCACAGCACGAGTTAACAAACCAGGAACTCCACCTGTACATTCCAACAACGAATCTGCCAATTCNTTTACTGAAAATGAAGAACTACATAAGACATTACAAACCGGTTCTTGAGTAGGTGTCTTTAGAAGAGTCTTTTCAAGGAATTCAACGATACTGGAAGCGTCCAAAGGTGATA